CGGGAGGAGGAAGAGGAGGAGGGGGCTGAGGGGTGCCCCTGAGCCTCGGGGGGGTGTTTGTCGTATTTTGGGGCGAGGAGCCCCCCCAGTTCTCCTTCTCCCCCTCATCCCACAGAGGTGGGGCGATGACTCCCCAGGAGTAGCAGACCCTTCCCACGGGGAGGGGGAGAGAGCCACCCTAGATAAAGGGCCAGGGAGGGGTGGCAGGTGGGAGTTTAGCCTTGCCCCCCCTTAAAGGGACTTACTTGTCCTTGGGGTGATAAATAGGGGGGGGCTTCTGTAGGGCCCAAGTCCAGGGGGGCAAGGGAGGGCCCCCTCCCTTCCTATTAGTACCAGGGCCCCCTTGCCAAGGAGTCTTGAGGGTGACCCCAGTTTCTGAGGAGGGGTTAGCTGGGGGGTGGGGTGCTGTTGACAGGCCCAGGGATTGTCAGCTGTGGGGTGAGGGTTGGGGGGCCTCCTTGCCCCCCAAGGCAGGAAGGAGAGGGGGGTCTCCTGTGGAAAGAAGCCCCCTCCCCTCTTTCCCTGACCCCCAAGTCCCTCTCCCCCTGCCCCCCCAGGCCAGGCCAGAGCCAGGGCCAGGCCAAAGTTTGTTTGTTTTTGGCTGGGGGGGTGTGTGGGGAAGGAGGCGGGGGGGCAGCCGAGATGGCCGACCTGGAGGCCGTGCTGGCCGACGTGAGCTACCTGATGGCCATGGAGAAGAGCAAGAGTTCGCCGGCCGCCCGTGCCAGCAAGAAGATCACCCTCCCGGAGCCCAGGTGAGGAGGGCGTGGGGGGGGGCCCAAGGGGGGGCACTTACCATTCACAGGTGGCAGCGCAGGGAGGGGGCCGAAAGCAACCCTAGGGTCCCCCTCTGCCTGAATTGGGCCAGGCCAGGCGAGGCCTCCAAGACCCCTCCCCCCCTTGCCCCCCCCACACAGGTGGATTCACAGCATGCAGTTTATTCATTTCCCAAAACTGGACTCCTCAACCTTCTGCTCCTTGGCAAAGCCAGGAAAATAACACCTCCCCCCCAAGCTTTGCACCCTTTTTGTGCCAACCCCCCCTTTGCCCAGAAGTAACACATCTGAGGGACAATCCCTGGTCAGAAGCCCCTGCGCATAAAGGATGCCCCCCCACATGCCTCTTTCCTCCCATTATTGTGTTTCTTCAAAGACAGCTGTTGTTGTTTACCGATGGATGGTGATTGGCGGGCCCTAAGGGAGCAGGAACATTTTGCCCCCCCACCTGTTCAAGGGAAGGGCTCTGTCATGTCCTCACGTGACCCCCTCCCCAAGGCCCCAGCCACCCGTGCGGCCTGCATACCATTCCTGTCTGAAGCCCTGAAGGCTTCAGAAGCCACTACCCCCCCATCATGTTAGATCTTGTACACCCCCCCCCTGCACACCTCTTGGCTTATGGAGCATGTCAAAGGATTTGTGAACATATTGCTTGGATTTTGCAATTTTGCAAGCTTTTCTGAAGCTTTAGCCACCTTCTCTCTGACCCCCCACCCTCACCCCGACCATGGCAAGCATCCAGTGGCCCTTTCAGGACGTTGTCTTTTCTTGGGATTTCTTGCCCCGATCCGACCCCCAGCCCTAGCCCCTCATTGGCCAGCCCTGGCCAGAGTGGTGGATGGTCTCTTTGGGGAGCCTCTGCCCAAAATCTTGAAATAAAGGAGAAACTCAGCTAGAGGTGGGCTTGTGCTTTGCCGCCCCCCCCCGCCCCCCGGCCAGGTCCCCTGGGATATGAGCCACGATTCCTGGGCCCCTGTTGAGGCGATGTCGGCCGGTGGTGGTGTTTGGGTCGCTCTTTTCTTGCCTTCAGATCCAGACCCACCTCAGTGGATGCTTCTCAGGCTGTGGGGTTGGGATCCTGTCCCCGGGCCTCCTGGAGCGTAAAAGGCTGGACGGGCTCTTTACGGGCTCCTCCCTGTTCTTCTGGGAAGCGGGCAAAGCGTGATGAGGAAGGAGCAGCCCTTCGGCCTCTTCCTCATCACCCCTCCGATGACCAAAGTTTCCTGGAAAGGGGGCTCCAAGGCCTGCCCCAGGCGCTGTGGGGCTTTGGTGGTTTTTCTCATGACAGGGTTGCCCAGGGAGGAGAGGGTTGAGTGCTTTTCTTCTCTTCTCTCTTTGAGTCCTGTGGCGCTCTGTGCTTTTTGTTTTCTTCTTGCCCCTGCTGGGAGCACCCTGTTTCCTCAGAGAGATCCTTAGCCCAAGGATCCCCCCACCCCACAGTCCCACGTGGGTCTGGGGCCCATGGCAAGGAGCAAGTGGCTTCTGTGGGCTTCCGCTTCTGCCTCTTGCACTTCCTGGCCAAGGGTCCCCTTTTCTCCTCTTTTCTGGCCTGATCCTGTTGTGCTGTTTCGCTTGCATTTTGTTGAGCTTTGCAGAAGTCCGTTGGTCCATCCCTTTGGAAGGGGACGGGACCCGTGCATGGGGCAGGCCTTGAGGCTGCCCCCCCACCTCACTTGATTTCGGAAGCTTAAGCAGGGGCAGGCCTGGTTAGCCCCTGGATGGGGCCCCCTAGCCTCTCCCCCCCCCTCAGGATCTCTCCAGGTGGACCTGAGAAACAGGGGCCCTTTCTGAGACCCTGGTCGGCCAGGGTGGCTGCTGGTCAGAGGAGGCCAGGCTGCTTCCAGTGGCTTCCTTGAGCCGCCGCTGTTCTCTTTGAACTGGACGGGTGAGCATTGCCCACATCCTTGCTTTAATGACATAAGCGGATGTCGGACATTAACCAGGAGAGGAGGACCTGGGTTGTAGCTGGAAAACGCCACCTTCTTCCCCTGCGCTCTCCATTGGCCAGGCAGGCGCCGGGACTGAAGGCCAGGCCTCCTGGCCTTGGTGCTTCTGGACAGAGGCAGCCTGGCCACTGGCTTATGTCCTGAGATGGAAGAGGGAGGGAGAGGACTTTGATGGTGCCCTCTTGGGGGGGAGGTGAGAGAGAGTGGCCCAGAGGGCCATCGTCCCTCCTGCTGGTTACCTGTCGGGTAAAGAGGTCGGGAGGAATGGTCAAGGGATGGGGAGCCCTGGAGGCGGAAGGAAGGACACGTCTGTGCGGTTTGTTGGTTTGCTTGTTTGTTTGTTTGGTGCAGTAACTTTAAAGCAAGGAGAAAAAAGTGTCCCCTCCTCCTGTCCATTTACATACACCTTGTGTGCTAGCAAGCTTGCACTCCCCCCCACCCCACCCCCCAGGGTTGAAATTTTCCTGAGATGAACAGAGTGAAGAAGGGCAGGACAGAAACCTCCGCTGAACCCTGTTGTGTCCTGAAATTGCAGTGCTCTCTCGCTCCGTTTTCAGAGTGAACTCGTCAGTTCCCGCACTGGTTGGCCCTTTTTGCACCCCTAGCAGGTGGGCTGGGTGTGTGTGAGTTGTGCAGCCAAGCCTTGGGATGTGTGTGTGCCCGGTTGGTCGGTCTGTTGTGGTTCAGGACCGACCCTTTAGAGGCAACTGGGTTGTGTTCTTGTTTCTGGGCATGTAATCTCCACCGCGTCTAGAATAGAAGGGGGTGAAAAAGCAGCCTCTCTTAATTACAGGTGATCATTAACCCCCATCCCTGGGAGATAACCGTGGGGACTTTGGTGTCCTGAAACCTCCAGAGGCAAGGTTAGCAAAGGGGAAAACCAAGCCGCAGGTGATAAAATAACATTTGGAGTCTGTGTACTGCTATTTTTTAAAAAAATAACTTGAATAATCTAATGTTCGGAATGCAGGAAACAAGCTGTTCCCAGCATCCGCCAAGGGCAGGATCCAGCAGGATGGACCCCTGTGAAATCTCCATGGGTGGGAAGGGTGCAGGAGGGGTCCAGGCGGGCCCCTCCTGTCTCCCTCTGACGGGGCCTGCTTGGCCTCTTCTCAGCCTCATCCGCACAGCGGCTACCCAGGGACTTTTCCGTCCTGCTTCCTGGGATTTCTGGTCCCAGAGCCAGCCACGTTTTGGCAGGATGAGAGTGCCACATTTGTTGCGAGCGTACTAAATTATCATATTTTGGTAACAGCAGCCAGAAAGGGAAGCGGGAGCATGGAATATAGGTGATGCTGCCTGGTGAGCAAGGGCATTGCTGTGTCTATGTCTCTTTGCGTTAGATCAGTGGTTCTTAACCATGGGTAACCCACGTGTTCTTGGACTGCAAGTCCCAGAAGCCCCAACCAGCATAGCTGGTGGTGAAGGCTTCTGGGAATTGCAGTCCAAGAACACGTGGATGACCCAAGGTTAAGAACCACTGCGTTAGATGACCTTCAGGACTCCCCACCCATCCAATTTTGCCCTTTAATTAATTAATACAGTTTTGAGAAAAAGAACAGCTCCCACTTTGGAAAGTCCTATTTGGTCAGCTAGAACTGGGGGCCTTGTTTAGGTCAAAGCACAGACCAGCTGGGAAAAGCCACTCCGAGGGAAGGAAACGGGGGGCTGACTTTCGGTGGCAGATTGGAAATGAATCGTAGGAGGAAGGCAAGACTTCTGCCACCCTGTCCTTTCTCCATTTCTAGGAAACTGTTGCTAGCAGGGTTCGTGTCTTCTTTGCCATTTCTTTTCAAAATAATGAATGAAGTTTATCGGACTAATTACGTTAGAACAGAGTGTCAGAAGGCCTTCCCTGGGGGAATGATTTCAGCTCTGGGATGAGAGAGAGAGCGCGTGCGCATGCGTTGCAGGGTTGTGTCACTTTGCAGACAGAGCCAGCAGCATTCCCGTGTGGATCTGTGGACCCCCCCCCCCCTATCCCCTCCTTTCCGGNCCCTGGAGAGAGGCAGGCCATAGCTGCAAAAGGTGATGATGAAAATCTGCTCTCCAGGAGGACCTGCTGGCTGGCTGGCTGGCAGATTCTGGCACTTGTAGACCAAAACATTAACATTTATGCCTTCTAAATGTATCTGAGAGCAATCGGTTCGTTAGAGTACTAGAGAGATTATTCTTATTTATTAAGAATATTAATCGCCCCACAGGGCACACAGAAGGTTAGGACTACCCTCTGCGAGGATGATTCCAGAGCTGTGCAGCTCCTTGGCTCACTTCAGTTTCCTGCTTGGTGTGTCTTCCTTTCACTGGGCGAGAATAGCATGGAGTCATTGGTTTGCAATTATTTCTCTTTCAGTATCCGCAGTGTGATGCAGAAGTATTTGGAGGAGAGAGGAGAATTAACCTTTGACAAGATTTTTAATCAGAAGATTGGTAAGTTATGGTGTAATACGTTTTATTAGGATGCCCTCCCTTGCTCGCTCCCTCGCTCCCTGCCCAGCTGTGCTCGTGACCAGAGCTGCCCACACAAAATGAGTGCTTCTTGCATGTTGACTCCAGGGGAGCAGCGCAAGGCTTTGCTATTGTGTGCGTGGAAGGGTGTGCCGTGTTATCCCACCCAAACAAATACCCAGCCGGCTCACAAAGCCCCTTTTCTTCCACGGCACTGTGATGGATTTTTTGGAACTGCCCGCCATATGCCTTTGGCTCCATCCAGCCTTTTGCAGCCTTGAGCGTCACAGAGCTTTTTCATTTGGGGTGGGCTTCCCTTCCAGGTAGGGTGTGCCCTGCTCTCTTTTCAGGAGGGAGAATCGGGCACAGTCACTCAGAGCTGAAGAGAAGGCCTTGCATGTTGACTCCAGGGGAGCAGTGAAAGGCTTTGCTGTTGTGTGCGTGGAAGGGTGTGCCCTGTTCTCTTTTCAGGAGGGAGAATTGGGCACAGTCACTCAGAGCTGAAGAGAAGGAGAAAGGTCCCCCACAATTATCTTCCTCCTCCTCTTCCTCCTCCAATAGGAAACAAGGCCGTTGTTGGTTCAGGGGCTGGTGGCGTCCCCTTTATCTGAAAGCCTGTTTTTGATCAGCAGTTGGCCGGCGAGCGGTTCCTTCTGTCCCGGCACAAGCTGCTTCCTCTGGAGTGTGTTGTGTGCATGCGTGTGCGTCTCTCTGTGTGTGGGAGAAGCGCAGTTTGGGTTCTGTCTTGAGTCAGTGAACTACTTTTAACTCATTTTGCTCCTCTCCACATCCTGTTTATCACACAATAACGAGCTCCCTGGGACAAGTTTTCTTGTTTTGAAGCATGGCACAGATTTGGGGCTTGGCCTGTTCCCATACGGTTGGCAGGAACTGGTCAACTGGATGGTGATTCGGTCTTTGTGACACATAGGAGATTCCAATTAGGTGGAGGTAATCGGCTTTGCGTTAAAAATGCCATTTGGATCAATGTGGCCTTGAGGTCACACGTGAAAAAAATAAGGATGAACTCTCTGGCCAGAGCCCTAATGGGATTTGTGTAAGTTTAGCATAGCTTGCTGCAGCTAACTAACGAGGGTGAGGGGTGTGTCTTGCCACATGCTGAATTGCACAGCCAAGATGCCCCCCACCGACCCGTCAACTAGCCACAATTAGCTGCGTCAAGTTATGCCTTGCCTTGGGTGAACATGGATAGGATTTTATTTAATTTTATGTATTCTATTTCTGGCTGTAGATCTTTCTAATGGAGGCTTCCTGAGAGGACAAAGCTGAGAAGCCTGGCTAGGGAGGTGTTGCAGCCGGTGAGGGCGGGCGGTGCCCTTGTTTTAGATTCCTGCCTCTTCATGGGTCAAGTTGGGTGCTTTCTCCTTTGCCACAAACAGCAGTAGGCAAACAATACGACCGGCGTGGTTGGCATCATTCAGGGCCGGGCCCTGGACCACCAGGGTGGATGTGGGAGGGATGGGAGGCAAGTCCCTTTGCTGTCTGGTGTCTTAGGCTGAGTGGCTGTTTTGCCTGGTGGCCGAATTTGACGGGCGGCGTCCCAAGGCATGAAGAGGTCAGGCTCTATTACTATTTTCAGGACACCCCCGAGGAGACAAATGGAAATGAATGGAATCAGAGCACGCTGACCTTTCTGTCGGTGGTGGAGCTTTTCCTCCTGGGAAGCTTCCCCATCCTCTGATTCAGCCGCTGCCTTCCCACCAGCTTCTGTTCATGTTGGCACGGCCCTCCTTCCGCCGGCCTCTTTCCAAGGAGCAGATTTCTCAATGAGGAGCGTGGGTTTGGTTGGGGCTTCGCTGGGCTCTTTAGTCTAAAACTCCTCACTGAAGCCAGACAACTTAGGTGGTTTCCTTCCCCATTTCATGCGACAAAGATCTCAGAGCGTTTTCAATGAGACAGAAACTGGGGAGCTGTTTAGCCCATCGGAATCCAGGGAGAGAATGTGTTTCACCCATCTTGTGGCAATTGGGGAGCTGGTGTGGTTCAAGAAGGGTCCTTTGGGGTTTGACAGTGTGTACCCCTTAACCTAACGCCCCAGGGACTCAGCCTGCAAAGTCCAGGGTGGGCCCGGTGGTGCAAAAGCGCATAACTCTGAACAGAGGCGAAGCAAGAGCAGCCTTCTGCCTGCCAAAGCGGTTCTTTAAACATGGCCTGTTGGCATAATCCATTCAGTTGTTCCTTGGCTTTTGATGAGTGCACAAATGCATGGCGCCTGGCGTTTCCAAAGTGGGTAAGGAAGAGAACCTCGCAATGCTTTATCCAAATTGCTGGGATTTGGAGGGGTCTCTCTGTCTCTCCCTCTCTGTCTCTGTGTGTGTGTGTGTGTTTGTTTGTTTGTGTGTTGCTCTCACTGTGTGTCCTTTCCTGGAAGCGCTTGAGATGGAGGGCGATTTCCAGGTTCTGCCTCCCAAAACATCACAGCTTCTGAAACTGTTCTAGCAAAGTGTGCTGTTTTTCTTTATAAATATTTGATCTCCGTCCTTTATTTATAGCAGCAGCTGGAGCAACTTTTCTGTTGTTGTTAAATAATAGAACAACGCATCGCCAAGGTCTGTGTGAAGTGGGTTTTCTGGGAGACAGTCTTAACCTTTTGCAACCCCCTTGTTGCAGAGAAGCTGCAGTGAATCTCTCCGCCGGCTAGGAAGGAGGGCATCGGTGTATTGCCAACCTTCTCTCTCTTGCTTTCTCCCGATGCCACAGCAGTGCTAATAACAATAACAATAGCAACAACAATAATAATAACATGCCCTCAAACTGACTCAGAGTGCTCCTTTCAAGAGATTTCTCACTGTGTAGAGAAAGCATTCGGAAGAAGTGGTTTGGCCTTCCCTTCTTCTTCTCGGAGGGCTGTGGGACCCTCGGGCTACGCAGGCTGTCTCTTTGCCCCAGAGGCAGGGAGCTTCCAGACCTCCAGCTTCCCAGCCAGGGGAGGGACCCAATTCCCACATAGTCTCCCCTGCCTGAATGACTCGTGGCCAAGGGCAGCCACGCAGTAGCCACGCAGCCTTTTGAAAAGCCCCCCCCCACCTCAACAACACTCTAAGCGCGGTGCGGGCGGCCAGCTGCCTTTCCTCTGGCTTGGTCTTCCTGTTCCTTCCTAGAAAGCCATGAAATCAGCTGCCCCTTATATTTTTAGAAGCAGAAGTGACTTGTCAGGACTTTTCCCCTAAAAATGAAATAAAATAAAAGGGACAGTGTGTGAAGCAACAATTTGAGGAAATGGTTAGCCTTCAACTTGGGGGCAGCAGTGGCAGGGGGTGGGAAGAGTCTCTGGCGGATGACTGGCTGCGCTCCCCCTCTCCCCGGCCGCCGAAAATAGCACGGCGAAGGATGTTCTCTCTGGTGCGGCTGTGTGTCAGAAGACCATTCTTAGGCTGGCCAAACTTTTAAAGAACATTTCTTCTCAAAAGCCAGCTTGTTTTTCCAGCTCTAAAACCGGAAGGCAGGGAAGCTCCCGGCCAGACCGACTTTGGCCTCCATCGCGTGGCTGCTTGTCGCAAAAGGGTGAAAATCGGTCATCGGTTGTGCCGCTCTCTAGGGTGCGTCGGCTCTACAGGTCTACACTGAAGGAGCACACAATGGATCTAGGCCATCACTCTTCTCCTGAGGCTCTTGAAGGAGGGGTGGGAGACATGCCCTCCTCGCATGCTGGGGCTAGCGGGAGGTGCCACATCCAGCCGCGTCTGGGGATCACCGTTGGCCGACCCCCATCTTAAAAGATCCATGGCCAAATCCTGGGGGTTGTAAAGTGGGCATCCAGCTGGCAATATGGTTGGTGGGTGTGCTGTGTGCGTGTGTGTTCCTTTCGCAACGAGGGTCCATCTTCTTGACTGCCCAGCCGTTGCCCACCCCTGCCGGGAAGGGGCTTGGAGGGAGGGAGGGAGGGAGCCAGCCAGCCAGCCAGCCAGCCAGCCAGCCCCCGCGTGGGTAAACCCTTTCTCGTGCTTTCCCAAGGGGATTAAGGTGGCCCTTCAGCAAAACCCACTGAACGGCCTGTTTGCTTTGGAGCCGCATTCCTCCCCGGTGGGCTGTGAGCCAGCCTGGCTGGGAAGGTGTCTTTGGCAGGAGCCGCCTCTGCAGCCGAACGTCCAAACATATTCCCTGGGCTCTCTGGGAAAATGTCCTTGGGGGGCACGGGAAACCGTTTGGAGGCAAGGCAGGGCTGCTTAGGGTATCGGACGAGCGCTTGTTTGCTTCTGTGGGGCCACCCGTGGGGGGGTGGCGGCTGGCTGAGAGGAGCATGGGGGCCCTCTGGGTGGGAGGGATGTTGTCCCCACCCTGGGAGCCTCTGGCCAACCTCTGAGGCTGCCGCCTGCCTTCCATGGGGCGTTGGGTCTCCTTTGGCCCTGAGGCTCCACCGATGCCTCTTGCAGAGAGAAACGACGGGCTCTCCTCTTCTGAAGAGGGCAGTTTCCTTCTGCATTGCCTGTTTGGAACAGATAATCCCAGGCAGAAAACAGGACATCCATGAGACTGGGTGGGAGTGGGGCTCCTGATTGGAATCCTGAGGGTCCAGAGTTACAACTAGGGTTGCAAAACGACGGGCACTTTCTGTTAGCCTGACGGGGCCCCTTTGGGTGGGAGGGTGAACCCGTTGTTGCCCCTACCCTCCCCTAGCAGAAGCCAAAGGATGGCAGGCGGCCTGTGGACCTTTGCCTCTTAGCCCCTGAAGTCCCACAAGGGACGGGGTCCGTTTCCTCGTAGATTTCTGTGGGGAGGGGGGCCCAAGGCCGCCTTTGAACCCTTTTCTGTTGCTGCCCCTCACGAGTCTCCCTGGTTTCTCACCAGGGTTCCTGCTCTTCAAGGACTTCTGCCGGACGGACATGGAGGAGGAGGGCGTCCCACAGCTGAAGTTTTACGAGGAGGTAGGAGGCTTCGTTTAGATTTAACGGGTTCTGTGCAAGGGGGGAACTTGTGAGGTGCGAAAGGTGGGAATGATCGCCCGGCCAGGGCAGCCTGTCTGCACCCCTTGTTCCTGCGGTGGCCACTCCTATAAGGGCCTGGAAGGGCAAGGGTCATTTTATCCAGTCACTGGTAGGCAGCCAAGAGAGCCCCCCCCCCGTCTCCCCAGTACTGGAGGGGATAGACTGCTCTCTGGGCTCATGGCCATCGCTGGCCTCACCCTCCATTAATTGATCTTAATCCTTTTTCAAAGCCATCTGAGGCAGCAGCTTGTGGTGGCGAGTTCCACAGTTCAACCCAGGGCTGCAGTGGGGAGGTTGTTCCCTTTCTCCCTTTTGAATTGGTGTCTGTGGCGGGGGGGGGGGAGTCCTCCAGAGCTTGCTCTCCTCCCATGGAGTTTCCAGAGCTGAGAAGGAATTTGGACTCCGGTCTCCCGAGTCCCGTGCAGACCCTCGGTCCCTTCCATCACACAGTCCCTCACCTCTGAAGGACTCACCCCTTTATGGGAACATCCCTGTAAAAGAAGCTGGCCTGGCTTTGGGTCACTGGCAAGGTGGGGAAGCCTGCATGTCCCTCTTGTGTGTGGGGGGGGTTGTCCTCTGGGCACGTCTCCGCCTCCGCGTGCGACAGAGAAGGAAGACGCTTTCCCTTTAGGGAGCAAAGGGCTCTTCTTCCCCCCCCCACCCCCAGCAAGCACGAGAGGTTGATGAGAAAGACCCAGGCTGCCTGTCCCCCAGTGAGAGTCGTCTCCCTTTTGAAGAAGGTAGACATTGCTTTCGTCCCTTCGTGGGATCAGCGCGAGCCATGAAACAGAGGAATCTCCATTGGGGAGTCTGGGTGTTGAGCTGGGGTGGACGGTGTGTCCCCGTGATGGAGAGGCTCCGATGGGTGGGATTCAAGCCTCTTCCCCTTCTGGATGGAGTCCAAGTGGGCGGCAGTCCTGATGGAAAGGCAAACGTCTCTTCGCTATGGAACTCATTAGCGGAATTAGGGGAGGGAGGGAGAGAGCTGAGCCAGTTCGGCCAAGAAGGGGCTGCTTGCCTGCCAACTCCCCACACCTGCCGGGCCTCCCTCGTGGGGCAGCAGGGGGAGCTGCTCCGGATGTCACCCCAAAGAGCAGCCCAGGGTCTGGGAGACCAGCAGCAGCCCGGAGGGTGCTGGAGGTGAAACTTTGGCCCTCGGCCCCACCAGAGGGACCCACCTTGTTGCATGTGGAGGGCTGTCTGTGCATGCACACAAGCCTGCATCCATGTGACAGAGGGGTGTGAGCCTGGCTTTGGCCCCCCAAACTCCCACTGGCCTCCTCCCCCTGGAAGTCAAGGGGACCCCAGCCTCTGGACTGGTTAAGCCTCAGGGTGTCTCCTTGAGGGCCAAGCTGACCAAGCCATCCCAAGGCCCAGGACTTGGCCTCCCATGACGGGATTTGCCTCTTGCAGATCAAAGAGTACGAGAAGCTGGACTCGGAGGAGGAGCGCCTCAGCCGAAGTCGGCAGATTTACGACACTTACATCATGAAGGAGCTGCTCTCCTGTTCTCACGTGCGTGCATTAAACGTGGAGGTCTTACTATACGTTTCCCTCTTAAAATGCAGTGTGTGTGTGTGTGTGTGTGTGTGTGTGTGTGTGTGTGTGTGTGTGTCAGGGCTCAATGCCACCGTTCCCCAAAAGCAGCCCTGGGATGATCTGGGCACCGTCGGCCCATGTCCTTCCCTTCCTCTGGGGTCCCTTCTCCTGCCCTTGAAATGGCACTCGGGGTAAAACGACCCGAAGCCGGAGGGAAAAACGGCCCTCTTGGTGGTTCCACCAAAGACCCGACAAGGGCTGGCTTGGGAGGGGAGGCTGTTCATCTCCCCCTGCATGCCAGCTGCTCTGCTTGGGTGCAGCTTCTGCCCAGATGCCTTCCCTGTTCACAAGGCGCCCCTCCTCGCGCACCCGATTGTCCTGCCAGGTAGGCAGAAGAGCCCAGCCCCTGGATGCCTTCCCTGTTCACAAGGCACCCCTCCTCGCGCACCCGATTGCCCTGCCAGGTAGGCAGAAGAGCCCAGCCCTCCAGCTCCTCTTCTGATGGGGGGAGGGCTTTCAGCTATTAAAGCCCATTGATGTCCCTGTTCCCCTTCTTCTCCGCAGCCTTTTTCGAAGCCCACGGTCGACCACGTGCAGACACACCTGGCCAAGAAGCAGGTCCCCGTCACCCTTTTCCAGGTGAGCACTGCCTTTTTTGTTTCTCTGGCATCTGCAGATCTCGTGGGTTAGTTAGTCAGTTTCCTTTTTTTAAAAAAAGGGACAGGTTCAGCATAGCCCCGTTCAGACGTTGCAATTCACAACAAATAAGGTTTCACTCTTTCAAGCCATGTGACGAGGCTTCAGAATTAAAAAGGACCTGCCGGTGTTCCATGGGAGAGTCGGTGTGGGGTGGGCGAGCCGGGCATCCTGGGAAGTCAAGTTGTAGCTTGGGGGGGGGGTCTTTTCTGACTCCTGATTTCAACCCCCCCCATGTAAAGTGGGAACAATGAGGGCGGAGGCGAGCTGAGGGTGGCAGGCCGTAGCTCAGCCCTTCGGGTGCTGTCACAATTCTGGAATTCCAGGTGTACGTCTCTGTATGGCCGTGGCTGTAATTACTGCGGCTGCTCAGAAACGGCCGTGGAGCCGGTCCGTGGAGCCCTGCCGAAGCCCCAGGGGTCAGGATCACAGGGGAATTCAGCTGCAGGGGCCTGGCCGGAGAGGCTTCGGTGGCAGCGTGGAAGCAGCTTCCGGGAATGGGGGCCGAGGAAGAAAGCACATGGGGGGGGCAGGAAGACGCCAGACGGGGTGGCTGGGAATGGAAAGGAGGGGCGAACGGGGAGTTCTTCGCCTCAGAGACCAGGCTCTCAGAGGGGCAAACCCCCCCCCCCATTTCCAGGCCTCTTTGATCGGGCGGCTCTTGTCAGAGGCTTAAAGCAGAGAAGGGCTGAGAGGAGGGACGGACGTGTGTGGGTGTGGAAGACCAAGGGGTGGGACTCCAGCCTTTTAACCCAGCATTGGGTTTTCCTTCAGCCCTACATAGAGGAAATCTGTGACAGCCTCCGAGGAAAGATCTTCCAGATGTTTCTCGAAAGGTATGTGTTTTTGCCAGACCGCTGATCCCCTCGTACGGCCATTAGCAGCTGCCGCGGCATCAGCATCTTTGTCCGTCAAGCCCTCCCATGAAGTGTGTCCAGGGGGGGAACGGAACGTCCCACGTGTCCTGGAGCCGAGCTGAGCGGAGAGTCAGCACACGCCATGCTCGGGCCTGCCCAGAACCAGGGAAAAAGCTCCTTTTCTGGGCTCCTTTCCCGATCTCTGGGCAGATGCCTGCCAGCTGCCCCTTGTACTGAGTGGGAGAGAGAGAGAGAGAGAGACAGACAGAGAGAGATGGTTAGCTCGCTTCTCCTCCCGGCAGCTTTGGGCAAAAGTTAATCTCCAAATGCTGTCTTTGATCATGGGAGGATTTCCCTCCCACCGGGTCTGATCTTGGCAATTGAGATGAGCTTTGCAGGAACTGAGCTGAGTCAATAGCCCAGCTCTGCTGCTGTTGGTAAAGTGGCTCAGCGGCCCTGCAGGATTTTGTAGCAGGACGGCTGGTTTTATTTCCATCGGGACGAAGCGTGAGCGGTCCTTCTGCTCTAAGAGGGAGCCCGTTTCCTGGGAGGGTGGGTGCTGGAGGCCCCTGGCTCTTGGGGCCACACGTCTCTGGAGCCCCCGGCCAGCGGGCTGGACCCTTGCCCGTTGTGGGTGGTCAGGTGGCGAGTGGGGAAGGGGAGTCCAGAGGGTGGCCTTTGGGGTGGCCTGGTTCTTAAGCCCTCTTTGCTTGGAGGGCAAGAGTGGGCCACCCATGTTTTTAGCAGCTTCGTGGAACACAACGTGAATCACTTAAGATGATGAATGTGAGACAGGAAGCTGGTTGTACCGAGAGATCTTTCCAAGGCGTGTTTTCCTACCTTGGGCACAAAGCGTGAATCATTTACTTTGCGGCAGAAACAACTGTTTCCTCACTGCATATATTGTTAGTCCTTAATTATTTCACAGAGTTCTCTGAATTGCAGCGTTTGATGATTTTTCTTACTAAGGTACTGGGGATTTCTCCCTCCCCCTCCCCCACCGCTATTAGTGTGCTACAAATCAAATAAGAAAAATCTCGGGGATTTTTATGTCTGATGCATTTTTGCAGTAGGCATCATAAACCAAGCGTTACTCAGGACTTGTCTTCAGCCAACACCTGCTCGCTGAAGATTCACCAACAGGGCTTTTAAAATTTTAAAATATTTAAAGGTTTTTAAAGTGATGGTGCCCCTAATTACCAAAACAGATGGAACGGACTTTTTCTCTCCTGCTTTTTTGCAGCGATAAATTCACTAGGTTTTGTCAGTGGAAGAACGTAGAGCTCAACATTCATGTGAGTATTTGCAGGTAACATTCTGTGCGTGCTCTTAAATATCAGGGGTGGTCGAGGAGCAGAGTCTGGAAGGCAGGCCGGCCTCCTGTGGTGGGCCAACTCGTTCGGAGGGGAATCCTGGCTCCTTTCTTTCCCACACGGCGCGTAGTGGGAGGTGGCGGTTCAGGGGTGGGCTTAAAAACCAAGGGAAACCCCTGACTACTTCTTGCTTTGGGAAAAATGAGTAAATGCCGCCCTTGCAGAGAGGGAGCGGGTCACGGCTGATCCCTGGGGTGCAGAACTGGCCTTTTCTCCTGCACCTTCTCAGACGTAAGCACTCTGCTTATGCTTGCAGGTGGTCTGTTCTCCTGCATTGTCTCAGAAGTTGCCCCAGAGGACCCAGGACATAGCCTTTCTCTCCTTGTCTCGATGCCCCCTGGTTCCGATTAAGCTCTTAAGTTCACGAGGAACACTTTTGGATATGAATTTAGGCCATGCGTGGCCCGGTTTTCTTCTCCTTTTGAACCTTGACATCAAGGATAATTTTCTTCCCCCTCTCTGTGGCCTCTGGTGGTTTCCAGAACCCGTTGCTGCCTTGCCAGGAACGAGGGCTCCATTTTGGCCAACATTCCTACCAAATCCCCGGAAAGCCCAAGAAGGCAGCCAACTTTTCTGCCTGCGTTGATCTGAATTTGGGTGGTGGAGTCCAGGGGAGGGGGCGCCTGGCAGGAGGTGGGCCCCTTGGCCTTTGGCCCTCTCATGCCCGCCCGTCCATCTCTTCTGTCCCCAGCTGACCATGAATGACTTCAGCGTCCACCGAATCATCGGGAGGGGAGGCTTTGGAGAGGTTTACGGCTGTCGAAAAGCAGACACAGGAAAGATGTGAGTGGCTCGGTTTGTCATGAAGACGAAATTTGCTTTGAGGCCTCCGGACTAAAGACCAAGAGCCAGCGAACAATAAACCAGCCAGCAGAGGATGGCCGCCTTGTGCCGGGTCCCCAAAGGGCTCCAAGGGCCTCGGTGGGCAGCTGGAAAGGCACACACATGGGGGCGAGGGAGGGAGGGAGGGAGGGAGGGAGCGGTGACCTCCCGAGTCTTCCCAGGCGTCCATACTAGCAGGACGGCTAAATTTTGCTCTCGGCATGACAACCGAGTGTCACCCTGGCAGCCAACACTGCAGGACGGCCGGGCCACCCCTGACTATTTGCTCGGTGGTCTCTGGGCAGGGTCAGGGTCCTGCTGCAGGGGAAGCGAGGCTGGCCAGCCCTGGGCACCAGACTTTGTCCAGAGCAGGGCCTCCAAAAGGGCACAACATGGCTTGGGGGTTGCAGGGAACTCTGCCCAAACCCCCTCCCTCAACTGCGCAACATTTCTAGGTACGCGATGAAGTGTTTGGATAAAAAGAGGATTAAGATGAAGCAAGGAGAGACCCTCGCCCTGAACGAGAGGATCATGCTCTCCCTCGTCAGCACCGGGGTGAGTATGTCGCTCCAGCCTTTCCCGCTCAGGAAGCCCTTCTGCTCGGTAACCCGTCTTCCGACATTCCTCCTGCAGAGAGAAAGTGGTTCCTGCAGGAATTCTGTGAATCCTCCCTTGTGTGAGGAGCAGCCGGCCGTGGAAACCCCAAAGGGTGTGGGTTGAGGGGGAGGCTGCAGAGCGTCTCCATGAAGGGATGAAAGGTGGGCACGGAAGGAAATCCTCATGGCCGGGGCCGCCTGGGGGACTTGCCTGTGGCCTTCGGCACCCTGGCCCTCTTTGCAATGTTGGGGAGAGTCTGGGCTGCTCTGACAGGAAGTGGAAGTGTTTTGGGATCTGGGGGTGGGGGATCCAGGAAGGCATCTGGAAGAGGGACCCAAATGACTGGGGTGGGTGGGGAAGAGCGGAAGGAGTGCCTTCCGAACAGAGGGTCCTCGGCGCTCGATTCCACCTTTGCTACATCAGGCCCCGCGTGGCTCTGATGGCCGTCCTTACTAGAGAGGCTGGCAGAAAGGCTCAGCTTTGTGTTTCAGATAAAAACTCCACCCCAAGCGGAGGGGGCGGCTTGTTCTTCCATTTTTCCAATTAAAGAAGTCAGTGTCAGCCCGTAAACCACGGTGGAGGGGGGGGGCGGGCGGATGGCAGAGCCCTTTGCCTCGGCAGGTGGCCCGCTGGCTGGACCCCACAGCTCCTTGCTGACCTTTGCGGGTCTCGGGTGCCCAGGTTGTCCACCGGTATGACCTCAGATGCCAGGGGCCTGGAGGAGGGAAAGAGGAAATCCATTACAGAGGAATTCTGGGTGCAGGGCATGATCCACCCATGGCGCCAGCAACAGCGGCAGGAGAGGGTGGGGGGAGGAGGCCAGAGTCCCCCAACCCCCAACCCCCCGCCTGTTCCGGCTTCATGCTGTTCTCATCCAGAGCGAAGCAGGAAAGGACACAAACACATGCGGGCGGCTGCCTTGACGACTCTGTTGTTCTCAATGGGGGTGGGGGTGCCTTTTGGGGAGAGGTGGGGATCCCCCGCCTGCTTCCCGGTCACCCTCCGGCCTGCCTTTCCCAGGACTGCCCTTTCATCGTCTGCATGACGTACGCCTTCCACACCCCGGACAAGCTCTGCTTCATCCTGGACCTGATGAACGGTAAGGGAGGGAGGGAGCGTTGCCTGCCCCCTCCCTTGGCAAGTTCTGGGCTTGGATTCGGTTGAATGTGCAGTGAATTCCCCCCCCCGCCCCTATCTACTCTCCTGTGGCCTCGGTGCCAGGGCCCCTCTGAATCCCCCGGGGGCTGTGGGTGTGTGTGGCTGGGTCAGCTCTTGGGCAGGGCCTAGAACGCCCCCCCCCCCGTTCAGCGGTGAAGGCCTTGCTGGACTCAAGCCCCCCCCCACCGGTCTTTTCCCCCAGGCGGGGACCTCCACTACCACCTCTCCCAGCACGGGGTCTTCTCCGAGAAGGAGATGCGCTTCTATGCCACCGAGATCATCCTGGGGCTGGAGCACATGCACGGCCGATGCGTCGTCTACAGAGACCTGAAGGTGAGCCTCGCTCGGGGCCTCGATCCGCAGGAGTTGGGGAGAGGTGGCCGGCCGAGGAGAGGCCCTCCTGCCGGGGTGGTGCTGGTGGTAACTTTGGCCCTCTCGCAGGGAGCTAATTTTGGGAAAGTCGGCGCAAGCTTATCCCGTGGGTTAAACCTTTCTGTGTCTCGTTTGTTAAGTAACGGGGGGGGGCGTTGTTGGTGTGCCCACAGCCCGCCAATATCCTCCTGGATGAACATGGCCACGTCCGCATCTCCGACCTGGGCCTGGCGTGCGATTTCTCCAAGAAGAAGCCTCACGCCAGTGTGTGAGTACCCGGCCCGAAGCCGGTGGTGGGCACAGCTGTTTTCTGACTCTGCCTGGGATGGCCCCCGGCCCCCAGCCCTCCGCGGGGCCGAGGCAGGCTCTCTCCCCCCGCCTGTGGGTGGTCCACCTCCCACCCGTGGGGCACAGAAGTGGTCCTCCCTCCTCTGTGAAGCGTTCGCTCTCCCTAGGGTCCCCCAACCTGGCGGTGTGGGGTGCCCTCTCGTGCCGCTCTCCCCTGGCATAGATGGACCACCCGTTACCTCCTGGCATGGCCGTGGAACCTTCCGGATGCTGCATTTCCTTGACCACCAATGAGTGTAAATGGTTTCCCTTCTCAGAAAAAAAAATGGGCTTTTTGATTCTGTTGTGGAGGGGGACTCTCATTCTTGGGCAGAGCGGTGGGTGGGAGGTGGCGCGTGGGAGGCTGGGTGCCCGTGGGGCCTCCGCAGAGGGGGGCACATGAGGCCGGGCCGATACCCAGTTGCCTGTGGTGCGCTGGTGGCCCTCTGGGTTCCAGGGTTTTGGGGGCAAGGCTGGCGTTCCCTGGCGGTTTCCCACTCACCTTGCTGCAAGGATGCTCATGCGCCCCTCTTGACTCCCTTGCCAGGGGGACTCACGGCTACATGGCCCCCGAAGTGCTGCAGAAAGGGACGGCCTATGACAGCAGTGCCGACTGGTTCTCCCTGGGCTGCATGCTTTTTAAGCTCCTCCGAGGGTGAGTCCTGGTCCCCAGGCATCGGGCGGCCATCCCTGAAGGGCGCCTGGCAGGTTCGGGTGCACAGCGTGGCCGTTGTGGGAGGCTTTGTCCAGCACAGGCTGCGAGCGATGGAAGCAGCCAGGACCTCAGCACCACCACCGCGTCCTTCGGCAAGGCTCCGGCCTGGGCGCGCCTTCTGCTGGCAAGGAGCAGCAGAGACTCACACAGGGGTGCGGGAGGCAGCTCTCTCCCCCACCACCACCCGCATGTATGCACGGATGCCTTTGAGGGCTTTGTTTGCAGATGGCTGTGCTTGTGAGGCTGCCGACCTTTTACCCCCTGCCCTGCTAAACCTCTCTCTCTCTCTCTCTCTTTCTTTTCCTTCTCCCTCCCTCCCTCTTCTCCCTCAGGCACAGCCCTTTCAGGCAGCACAAAACCAAAGACAAGCATGAAATTGACCGCATGACCCTCACCGTGGTAAGGATTTTGAGCAGCCTTCGCCTTCTCTGCTTCCTTCTCGGTGCTTCCCGCCCACCCTCTGGCCACGCTCGGTTCTTTCTTGGTGTATTCCAGGCTTTGATGGGAGAGCTTTTCAGGACCAAGCCACCTTCCCCAGCCCCACCCTGGGTGATGCTAGAGGGCTCCTTGGGGGCTCTCCTCCAGCTCTTGTTTTTCATCCCTAGAATGTGGAGCTGCCCGAATCCTTTTCCCCTGAACTCAAGGCCCTCCTGGAAGGCCTTCTCCAGAGGGAGGTCGTCAAGAGGCTGGGCTGCCAGGGGAGCGGGTGAGTCCCGGCCAGAAGAGGGTGGGCTCTGGGCTCGGGCGCTTTCGGAAGCAGCGCTCCTGCCCCATGAGAAAGAACTGGGGTGCGGGGGGGGGCTGGTGGCAGCAGCTGGCTTGCTAAACGAAGCAATGGAGTGAATTGATTAGGAAACCTCTTCGGTGGCTGGAAGGGGCCCTTTAGTGGCTGAAGGAAGCTGCCCGCCACTGGGTTTTTGGTTCGGTGGTGGCCTGATGGGACGGAGGAGGCCCTGCTTTTTCCTCGGGGGGGGGGCACATTCCAGTCCCCGCCTGGTTCTCTCTTCATGCTCAGGGCCCAGGAGGTCAAGGGGCACCCCTTCTTCAAAGGCATCGACTGGCAGCACGTCTACCTGCAGAAGGTGAGACCCCTCCAGCTACCGGCGTTCGCACCACCAGCAGCTGCTGGGAAGAATCCTTCCGAACCATCATTGTGGGAAAGGCCAGCAGTGGCCCTTTGGCTGGCTCGCCCTCTCCTGCCCCTCTGGCCCAGCCTGTCCAGCCCTTTGCCCCCCCCCAGGCCCCTCTGCTCCGTCTCCAAGGCCTGCCGAGTCCCTTTGTCCCTTTCTTGGATTCGGACGCTTCTTCTGCTGGCCTTCCTCCTCCTCCTCCTCCTCCCTGCCCCTCCTCCCCCCCCGGCCTCTCCCCCACGCCCTCTTTTNTTTTAGAGTCTCATTGTCAGCCGTGGAAGGGCTGACTGGTTGAGGGGGACCCGATCCTCACTTCATTTAGGGGTTAGGGGTTGCCACCCTTCCTCTTCCTGATAGGGGTTATGCTGACACCATGCCCTCTTGTCACAACCACCCTGAGGAGCAGACCAGGGGCCAAAGGAGACTCCAGGCAGGCAGGCAGGGATTCCAAAGGGAGAGTCCCCAGCCGTTTTGTGCTTGTCTGGTGCCGTCCCTCTGGCCTTTCTTTTTATGGGGAGGGGTTGCCTGGTTGTCTCTCCCCCCCCCCCAATAAATGTGTAGAAGATCTCCAAAAGGTGGCAGGCGTATGATGTGGGCCTGCCCTTGCCTTCCCAGTACACCCCGCCCCTGATTCCTCCAAGGGGAGAAGTCAACGCGGCGGATGCCTTTGACATCGGCTCCTTCGACGAGGAGGACACAAAAGGGATCAAGGTGCGCGGCGGGGCCTTCGTGGGAGCCTTTCAGACTGGCTGGGGGGGGGGGAGGAAGAAGGGGGATCCTTTGGGGGACTCGGAGGGATTCCACCGGGGCGGAGGGGCGTGCGTGCCTTCCCTGCCTGCTTCCTCTGCTGCGGGGCTTGGTGGCTCTTCCGTGCAGGATTGGCTCTTTGGCACAGCAAGTGGGACTCACCAAACAGGGGCTTTGATCTCCCCCCCCCTCCCTTGCTGGGCATGCTCTGGAGTGAACAGTAATGAAGGAAGGAAGCTACAGCTGTAAGGGGTTCACGTAAGGTCAGGCCGGGAAAGGTTTGGGCTAAGACGAGGCTCAGGAGGGGTGTAGTGGTGGCGAGGTCAAGGGAAGAGGGAGCAAAAAGGGGGGGGAGGACTTGCCCTTCGCAGGAGCCCCCTCCCCGCGGCTCCCCCTCATCTCCTCCTGCTGCCTCTTTCCTTAGTTGCTGGATAGCGACCAGGAACTCTACAAGAACTTCCCGCTGGTCATCTCGGAGCGCTGGCAGCAGGAAGTGGCTGAAACCGTCTACGAGGCCGTGAATGCGGACACGGACAAGATCGAAGCCAGGAAGCGGGCGAAGAACAAGCAGCTGGGGCACGCCGAGGGTATGGCGTGGGGAGGGGCAGCACCGGCAGACCCTGGGGTGTCAGGGAGGGAGGGAGGGAGGGGGGAGCGCTTGGTGTCCTGGAAGGGGAAACTGGGAGGAGAAATGTGTGAGCTTCGAGCGAGGGTGCCGGTGGCCCGTGCTCGCTTGGCCCACCTTGCACAGCTGTCAGGTTTGCCTCAAGTGTCCCCTTGTGAGCAAGAAACGGACTGGAACCTCCTTGAGGGCAGAGACCCCTTTCCCTTCCCTTTGGGTTGCCGTGAGCGGGGACAGAGTGGCTTTCTAAGGCAAGGGGCCGGCTGAGGCTTTCCGGGAGCTGTTCCCCCAAAGAGCCACATCCCTAAGAGAGGCGATGAGCACGGACCCGTTCCCCTAGAACCGCTTCCTTTCTTGCCACAGATTACGCCCTAGGGAAGGACTGCATCATGCACGGGTACATGCTGAAGCTGGGCAACCCCTTCCTGACACAGTGGCAGCGGCGCTATTTTTACTTGTTTCCCAACCGGCTCGAGTGGCGCGGAGAAGGGGAGTCGCGGGTGAGTAGAGCAAGCCGCCCGCCTTTCTCCATTGCCTGCCCCCTTTGAAGGAAGGGGGAAAGGGTGGCAAGCTGCCGCTCCCTGCCTGTGCCCCCTGCCCCTTTCTACTGAGCCAGCTGGACGAGGGGCAGGGTGCTGGCAAGCCTGTGACAGCCTCCTTTCCCCATTTAGGGTGCCTGGCGCTCTTACGCCAACAAGCCAAGGCGGGTAAGGCAGCAGCAGCACCGCTCCGCTCCGGCAGCAGTTCCCAAAAGGGAGCCCGTGTTCAGCTGTGGGGAGGCCAGGGAAGCTTCTCTCTGTGCTCAAGGGAGGGGCGTCGGAAGAGGGGGGCGTTGTTGCCCCTCTGCATGATCCACTGCCCACCCAGGTTCTGCTGAACTGGGTGGGACTCTAGACGCTTCCTTTCCGGTCAGGATGGCTCACCCTCCGTGGCACTTTTGGAAAGGCAGGGAGAGGCTTCCCTGCGCGTGGGGCAACCCTCCTGAACTCTCCCTAAAGCTGCGTTTCACAAACATTGCTCACCCACATTAAACCTGCTGGGTGATGGAGTGTGTATGTGTCCTGTTTTGAACGAGGAGAGTTGGGGGTCGGGAGTTGGGGGAGAATAGGGCAGTGGGCCTATTCCCCTTTTCATAGCCCTTCTGGGAGAAAATGTTCTCTGACTTCAAGGGGAAACTTTGAAAGGGGTGTGTGTTGCAGAATAACGCAGCAGCATAAACCTTGAAGAAAGACAGAGGAAAGATGCTAAGCAAAGAAGCGCTCGCGCATGGTTACTTCCTAGCAAAAATCTACAGGCCAACAAAGCCATGCACGGAATTAATTCTTTCCCGTTTGTCTAAGAAAAAAGTGTGCCACCATTCCTGGGCCTTTGGGAACGGCTGCTCTGCAGGATTGTGGCCCCTGCCCCCAACTCCAACTGAGAGGCAGGCCTGTAGGAGCTATAGAAGAGTGGCCCGTTGTTGCTTTTAGAGGAAACCCCCCCTGCCCCGCCCTTTTGCTTTGCTCCCTGCTGCCATTTTGGCACTCCCTGCCCTTTTCTCCTGCTGTTTGGTGAATTTCCTGACAGTATGATTTCATCCTCCTTCAGTCCACAGGGGTGGCTCTGTGGGGCCCCTTGGCTTCCCTTTTGGTCAGGAGGGGAAACGTCCGGAAATGTTTAAAGCCAACAGTGCATTGTGGCGTGTCCCCATGTTGTGTCCTGCCCCGTCCACACAGACTCCTTTTCCGTTCCGTTCCTCTGTTTTGCCCAAGGAGTCTGGCCAGGGTCTTGCAGGGTTCGGCTGGGGGCCTGGGGGGGGGCGGCGGCCCTGAACCTGGTTCCCTCTTTGGCTCCCTTAGCAAAACCTGCTGACGATGGAGCAGATTGTCTCCGTGGAGGAAACGCAGATCAAGGACAAGAAGTGCATTCTGCTCCGAATTAAGGGAGGCAAACAGTTCGTCTTGCAGTGTGAGGTAACCAGGGGACTCTTCATTGGGTTGGGGTGGGGGGATGTATTTCCTGAAGGGCGGCTTCAGTTGTGGCTGGGAAGGAATGACTGCTCTGAACTGAAAGCTGAGATGTGGCCGATCTTCCCTCCCTCCCTGACTCTGAGAAGCCTAAAACCAAGCAAAATGGTGGTGCTTTTCAGAGGGTCCATCGCCTGAATTAACATCCTTCTCCCGAACGACTCTCCCACCTCCAACGTACCAGGTTTTGCCTGATTCCAGAAGCTAAGCAGGATCAGGCCTGGTTGGGACTTGGGTGTGAGGTTCTCCCTGCTTTCCCCCTCCAATCTTGGAAGAGTCCCAACTGCCAGTCAAGCGCTGGCAGTGCAGAGGGCGGATCGTGGCCAGATGAGGCGGGCTCCAAACCGTGCCCCTCGGCTTCCCGTCAGATCTTCCAGGGGCTTTGGGGCCTCTTCTTCTCCCCACCCCACGGTCCCAGGGCAGCAGGGACGTGACCGCTCAGGGTGAAGAAGCCCATTCTTCTTCTCCTTCTGCAGCTGAAGGGGTTCGGGAGAACCGCCGTCTAATGCAAGGCTCTGCTTCCCCTTCTTCTCTTCTAGAGCGACCCGGAGTATGTTCAGTGGAAGAAGGAGCTGACCGAGGCCTTCACGGAAGCCCAGCGGCTCCTGCGAAGGGCTCCCAAGTTCCTGAACAAGTCTCGCTCGGCGGTGGTGGAGCTTCCGAAGCCGCCCCTGAACCACCGGAACAGCAACGGCCTTTAGGGCCAGGGTGGCCGAGAGTGCGCGGTAGGGAGCTCACCTGCGTGTCCCGGTGGCGCCCCCTTCACTCCTCCTGCGGTCCCTGAAGCAGGAGTTGCCTCGAGAAGGATGGAAGCCTGGGTGGTGCTGAGCACCGTGGGGGTCGGTGCCCAGGAACCGGCTTCACGGCACCCAAGAAGGCCGAGCGGGTGGTGGATCGTGGTTAATGAAGGACAGAGACTGGGGACGGATGCCTCACAAGACCACCCACCCAGTTGGCTGCCCCCCCCCAGGAAAGGACTGCAGGAAGGAACTTCTCGGGAGGATGAGCCTCTGCCGGCCGACCGACCGTGGTGGGATTTCACAGGTGGCACCTTGGAAGGATGGCTGCTTTTTTTCCCCCCAGACTGCACTTCTTTGGGGTTCGGTACACCTTTGGGAAGAACCTTCACCCTCGGGAGCAGAGGTGGTGGCCCCCGGTGACTCTCCCTGTTTGGTTTCTGCCCGTCAGGTCACCCACGGGTGGCTCTCTGCCTCCTCCTGCCGTCCAGCCGGCTGGCCCTCAGTGGCAGCTTGGACTGCCCCCTGTATGCTGGCTGGACTGGACTCTCTTTGTGTCCTGTGGTTTTAAATGTTGTTGCTGCTGCTGCTGCTGCTACTTGGGGAAACCAAGAATCGGCCTCTGACTAGTCCGTTGGTTTATTGCACTTATTAACTAGAGTATCTGCTGCTGTTTGTTTTTGCTTCTGTGACGGGAGTGAGGGAGCGAGTGAGGGAGCAGACACATTAGGAAGGGACCGACCAATGAGAAGTGGGCAGCTCAAGAGTGCGCGCATCTGTGTGCGTGGATCTGCACGCTTCTCTCTCTTTCTCTTCTGCTGCTGCTGCGGCGGCTCTGTTTTGTAAACAGCTGCTGCTTGAGAAGTGGGCAGCTCAAGAGTGTGTGCGCTCGTCTGTGTGCATGGATCTGCACGCTTCTCTCTCTCTCTCTTCTGCTGCTGCTGCGGCAGCGGCTCTGTTTTGTAAACAGCTGCTGCTTCCACTGGACCCCTCGCAGTAAACTCTGAATCGGCTTTCCTCCATTCCAGCTCGGTGGCCTTTTAAAAGGGTCCCAGACGAAGCTGCCTGCGTTCACAGGTGGCACGCGCATGCGCGCGTACCCACTGCCAGGGCTCTAGATAGGGAGAGGGCTGAGTGACCTCTGCTGGCTCACCGTTGTGAAATGTGTCACCCTTGCGTGACTTTCCCGTCTGACATTTCTGGCTTGTGAGCAGATTGTGTGTCTCGAGCGTCTGTTGAGGAAAAGCGAGGAAGAGGAATAGAGGCCGGCCGTTTGTGGGATCGGGTGGAACCCCTGACAAGATGTGGTCCCTTTTTGGGAACCTCCGTTCCCTCTTGGTTTTTTAAAGACGATCTTTTCTCTGGGGCATATTTTGAAGAGAGATCAGAGGGACTGATTCGCTGATAATGCTCGACAGTTGAGGGATCGGTGGCTGCTGCCGCATGGCTGGCGCTCTCTGAGAAGACCTCTGGAAGCAGAGGGTTGCCGGGGCATCGTGGCTGGCCTGCTGTGAATTTTGGTGGCCCAGAGAGTTTGAAAAGGGTTTCCTTCTCGAACAAGGAAGAGGCTCTCCTCAGGAGTCAGAACGATGGACTCGAACAGCCGCCCTTGGCCTGGGTGCTCTTAGTGGGCTGTGTGAGAGTGGGCAGGCCCTCTCATAATCATCCGCCCGCCCCTCCTTGAACTGTGAACCTTTTCTTTAGCTTGGGTGGCGTCCCCGTCATCACCAAGGGTCATGTGAAAAATGCCTCCCGGGTCCCGCTTTGGGAGATGTCCGTGAGTCCGTCTCCAGCTCCACTCCCAACCTCCAGAAGGTCCGGCTGGTGCAGGAAAGTCCGGGAGGCTTGCCTCCTGGTCGGTCCCCGGCAGAGCCTCGCCTGGCCTTTGCGGGGGGAGGGGGGGGAAAGAGCAGCTGGGGCCTGGGACCGGTAGGGCTCCGGGAGCGCTAGCTGTGCGGGAGCAGCCCACCCTTTCTGCACAGGAGGTTTGTGCATTGGGCAGTCATGGCACGGCCCCTGGCCCGCCTGCTCTCCGGGGCGACAGGGGCGTAGGGGCCCATCTCCTCCAGCCGTCTGGCCGGCCAGCCTCTAATAGCCTGAGGCAGTGTGCACGGGCCATGCCAGAGCGGGCCTCCTCTGGTGGTCCTGCTGGCTCTGTCTTTTCCAGACCTGCCCTTGCTGATGTCCTTGGAGCAGGGAATACACATAGGCCTTGGGGGTGGGGGTGGGAAGGTTGGGTTTGTCATCATTTTGCATTAAACCTTCTTGGTTCAATCGTGTGACAGTTTTGCACGGTGCCACGTTTACAGGAAGTCGTGAATTTTAAATTCCTGTCTGTGTCTCCATTTCAACTCCTGTATCTTTATTTGGAGAAGCATTTCTGGGTGGCCCAACCCAGGGAAGCTCTGTTGCGTTTGAAGGCTTGTCAGGATCAGGCCATGGAATCTGCTGTGACTTATTAGCTTCCATGAGGTGGAGTGGGGGTGGTGCATTGGTGGGGTGAACTTACCTCTCTATTAGGGTGTAGATGAAGGACGAAGAGAGGTCTGATTATCAAAAAATATTCCATCGGTAGTTATTTAAAAGTCTGGTTTGTGAAAGTCGTGGGACGGGTTAACTTTGGCAAACAGAGGCTCAGAACACCTGTTTTTTTTTTTTAAGTTGTTCTTGTGGATTGCAGGTTAAGTACGGTTCTTGGCATAACAAAATCAGCAGTGTGTGTGCTCCCTCTGTTTCTCTCCCCTTTTAACCTTCATTGTGAGGGATTCAGCACCGTTGTTTGTGTGTGTGTGTGTGTGTGTGAGAGAGAGAGAGAGAGAGGGAGAGGGAGAGGTGGGTGAACCTCCAGCAAGAACAAGATAAACTTTCCCTCTGAAAAGATAGTTAGCCTGCAATGCTTTTCAGTTAGGAATCTGAGGACACTTCTTAAAAGTTGGGCGATGTTTATTTCCTATGCTTTCAAAGCACACACACAAAGAAGTCCTTCAGAAGCCACAGGAGCTTTCCGATGTTGTTGGAATGACCTGGTAAGAACAGGATCCGGAGATATTTGGTATATGAGGAGGCGAGAGGCAGAGGGGTGGCATGCGAGAGAGGTGGGGAGAAAGGGGGCCTGGCACTGCCAGGGTTTCCTACTGGAACGTCCAGGCCCCGTTATTTCCGGTCCCAGAAGGTTCCCTGCTTGATCTGGATAGTATCCTTCTGCTAGTTATGAGCAGAAACCACCGCCTCGCCTTGTCTGTTTGGACTGCTGCACCTTCCTTCTCTCTCTCTCTCTCTCTCTCTCTCTCTCTCTCTCTCTGTGTGTGTCTGGAGAGATGGGGGCTGTACTGAAATTAGGAAGCTCTCCCTCTTTTTAGCCATCGGCCTCCTGGGGCCAAATGCTGGCTGAGGGATTCTGGAAGGCAGGGTCCAGAAAAGCAAAGTCCTCCAAGGGGACCTCTCAAGATGCCGCTCGGGGTGTTCCGGTTGTGATTGTGGGGTTCCCCCCCCCTCTCCCTCCTGCCTCAGCTAAGCATCCCTCCCTGCCTGGCGGCTGCATGAAGAGCCTCCCTTTTCTCCTCTGCCGGGTGATCCCAGCGCATGCGACTGGAAGGAAGGGATTCTGGCAACGTCCCAGTAGCAGTAGTCCTCTCCTTCCCCTTGTGCAGCATCATCTTGGAGCCATTTTCTGGGGCATCTCCTGTCTTGGAGCTCTGACATACAGGTGTCATCTCAGATAAACACGTGGAAAGTATTTCGAACTGTGTGGTAGGAACTGGAAGGATTTATAGCTGTTGTTAATAACAGAGGAGCACATTAATAGTAATACATATGCACTTAATTTTTAGTCTTGTACAAAAATGAGGAAAAGATATACTGTATAAATAGAATGACTCTATCTATACTCAGGACATCTGATGGAATACATGAGGGTCCTCTTTCTCGTTTGTTTGCTTTCAGTTGCCGGCTGATATTATATTCCACAATGTGTAAATATGAGGTGGTTTAGCACTACTGAATATTGATGTGTGTCCATAATAAATCTGTTCAATGTATTTTTTTTTTAAAAAAAAACAACGTTGTGTTGAAACTAACAGTCACAGCTTTGTTTTGTTCTCCCACCTGGTTGCTTTTATTCGCGGAGGTATTGACAAACACCAGGCATTTTTAATGTTATTTATTTGAAGTCTGCACATTTGTTCAATTTATTTCATGCCCTGTACAATATTGTCGTCTGTCTTATTTAAGTGAGAGCCGTTTTTTTCCCCACTTGGACTTGACAGTTTTGTTATGATTTTCATAAATTAATTCCAGTAACAGTTGAAGTTTACCCTTCTGTCTGTGATTTGGAAAGGAAGCTGGAGAAGAGGAGGCGGAGGAGGAGGAGAGCGAGGGGCCTTCCTCCTGCTCTTCTTTGGG